TTTGCCTTTCTAATCTTGCCCCTGCATTCCTGTGTTGTTTGCCTATAAGTTCAGGCCTCTCGGCCTCACCTCCTTTGGGGCTGCCTCATGTTCATCACACCTCTGCTGCGCCAGCCTTACGCGCCACGTCTCGCAGAACCTCTCCTTGCCCTGCCCTGCCCGGCATCCTCCCGTCAGTGCCCGCCAGTGGTGCAGCTGCCCTATCATGAGCCACGCGGCAACCAGGAGAGCTGGGTTAATAGGTTTGGGACCCTTGAGCTGAGCCTCTTGCTACCGCCACCCTCCCCCATTGCACACCCAGCTGCCTAATTAAACTGAGCTCTTTGGGGCAGGGCCCACCCGGATCTGGGTCTGCACAACCCTGGTGCACTAATCAGGGTGCTCTCTGCAGCCATCCATAAGGGACAGCCCCCAGCTGAGTGGGCGGGACTGTGGAGCTGTGACCCACCCTTGCCCCTGCCTGAGTGGGGCTGGCTGGTGTGCAGGGCCCACTGGAATCGGGCGCGTAGGCCTGTCCCTTACCAATGCCCTGCGGCGGGTGGGGGGGCTGTCCCAGAGCTTCCCCTGGGCCTTGTGTCCGCCCTGGCGTGTGCTCCATTGAATGTGGGAGCCCTGGTGCGGTGACCAGGGGGCAGCTTTGCTGCATGTAGACGCCCTATCCAGAGACTCTCCTGGGCTGCCCCATGTTGCCAACAGGAAACTTCTGCACCCACCGAGGCACAAGAAGGGTTTGTTCGGAGTGCTGTCGTCCCCTGTCAGTGGGGGAGCATATCCCACCCCTCCTGCAGTCCAGTGGGCTCTGCATAGCGGCTCCCTGGCACAGACGGAGACCTGGCTCGGGCCCCCCTGGCACAGTTGTGGGTTGCAGCATGTGTCACAGGCCAGGCCCGTGGCGGCAACGGGAAGCCTGGGTTAGCAGTGGCTGGGTTGGTGCTGCCCGGGCCCATGGTGTCTGTGTCGCCCTGTGTGTGGCACGTTCCTTAACCTCTGGGGCCAAGGCAGGTCAAGTCCCCCTTCCCGGACGCTGGTTCGGGGGAGGGAAGGAGAAGCGTGATCAGCAAACTCCCTTTCTCTCCACCCACGACATATATCCCGGGGCCACCCGCTGCAGAGCTGGGAGGACACATGCTCACACACATCCCTCTCCCGGGCCCCACCCTGCCTTATCCTGCTCCTGTGTGGGGGATTAGGAATTAGCCTCTTTAGAGCACCACGTGGCTGCTGGAGCTGCAGAGGGCTGGGATGTCCCCTGGGCAGGGGAGGGGGTTCTGGAGGACCAGAGAGGCCCATCCGAAGGCTGGCTGTCGGCTGTTCTGGTCTGTATAGGTTTTATACTGTGCTTGTCCCTGCTGCATCTGGGCCCCTTCCAGTGGGGCATTCAGCCAAGTGACTCCACATCTGCCACGTGTTCGTTCTCTTGTCCGCTCCCCAAGGGAAGGGGCACGTGCTGCAGGGAGTCTGGATTTGGGTCTATTTTAATAATATAAATGTGCCTGTTGCTGTGTGTGCCTTGGAGGAGGCGGGTCGAGAAAACATGCCTGATGCTTGGAGGCTCGTGAGAGTCCTTCGTTCATGGGGGTTCTGCTGGGGTTCCCCATAACCTGGGATGTCCCCTCACTTACCTCTGCCCCAGCTATTCACCCCCGCAATTCTCTTGGTGCCATGACATTCTCTGCGGGGAGGGAATCTCCATGCTTGGAGCTGAAGCTGAGACCTGGTGAGGGCACGTATTGGGTATCTGTGCTGGGGTAGTCTCTGTGCCGGGCTGGTGGGAGGGACCATTGGCTGCCCCTGTGTCAGTGTGGGAGTCGTGGGGGTCTCAGACACACGAGGGTCCCCTGCAGGCGTGGCTGGGGGATTAGCGGGTGTGGCCCAATGTGCAGAATACTGCACTGGGACACAGAAGCTCTGGGTTCTCTTCCTGGCTCTGCTACTGGCCTGCTGGGTTCTCTGGGGCCAGTCACTGCCCATCCCTACGATGGTGTTGGTGACGCTGACGTCCTTGTGAACCGCTTTGAGAGCTGTGCAGGAAACGTGCCAGACAGGAGCAGGGCTAGCCAGGGCGGCGCGCTCTGCAAACGGGAGAAGGTGGCGAAGGGCAGCCGAGGTCACAGCGGCATTGGGGACTGTGGGAGGGGTTCTGCACCAGGGTGGGGCTGTGAGAACAGGGTAGCTCGCTGGTGATGTGAGGGGATGCCATGGGGGGAGGGGGCTTGTGGCTCTGGCTGGGGACTTGCTGTGTATCCTGCCCCACCCAGCCCCTGTCTTCCCGCTCCCCAGCCCTTGCCCTGAATCTATCCTGCCCCCTGCCCTGGAAGGATCCCTGCTGGGCAGAGATGGGGATAGCTGGTCATCACCTACCCCTCTGCCCTGCACCCCTGCAAGCTTCCTCACAGCAGTGCCCTGCCTGAATCCAGCCCTACTCAGTGGCTCAGACGCAGCTCATCTTTGGTTTGGGGAGAAGCCCAGAAATCCAGAGCTGTGCCTGGGTGCCGTGACTCGCATGGTCAGCGGGATCAGCCCTGCGGGGCTCGGGCAGGTTTGAGCCTGGCTGGCTGGTGGCAGGTTCCCTGGGCTGGGGAAGAGGATCCCTGACGTGCACTCTCTGCCCTTCCAGGACGCGGTACATCAGTACGGAGCTGGGCATCCGGCAGCGGCTCTTTGTGGGTGTGCTCACCTCCAAGAACACGCTGAACACGCTGGCTGTGGCCGTGAACCGCACACTGGGGCATCGGCTGGAGCGGCTGGTGTACTTCACGGGCATGCGGGGCCGCAAGGTGCCGCACGGCATGACAGTGGTGACGCATGGCGACGAGCGGCCCATTTGGAACATGTACCAGACCATCAAGTACATGCTGGACCACTACGTGGGCGACTTCGACTGGTTCTACCTGGTGCAGGACGACACCTACACTGAGGCCCATCGCGTCAGCCGCCTGGTCGCCCACCTCAGCATCGACACCCTCCTCTACCTGGGCCGGCCTGAGGAGTTCATTGGTGGCGACACCGAGGGGCGCTACTGCTACGGTGGCTTCGGCTACCTGCTGTCCCGCAGTCTGCTGCTGCGCCTGCAGCCCCACCTGGAGAACTGCCGCAACGACATCCTGAGCGCCCGGCCCGACGAGTGGCTGGGGCGCTGCATCATCGACTACACGGCAATCAACTGCGTTGAGGAGCACGAGGTCAGAGCGCCCCCCTCGTCCCCACCCTGGCCCCCTTCCCCAATCAATCCCACACTGGCCCCCTCCTTCCAATCAACCCTTACCCCTTCATTGATTCCCTGCCTCCATCAACCCCTGCCCCCTCACCTCCACACTGACCCCCCTGACCCCATCAACCCCCAGCCTGGCCCCCTCTGCCCCAATCAACCTCCACCCTGGCCCCCTCCTCCCCATCAACCCTCACCCCTTCATTCATTCCCT